TTCAATTCAATTCAATTCAATTCAATTCAATTCAATAATTTATTGTCATTGTCAAAAAAGGCAACGAAATTGTGTTTGGGATACAACACTTAGTAGCAGCAAGTTCCAAGTAAAGTGCACAAGAGGTAAAAGTGACACCAGTGCTTGACCCCCCCAGCCCCCCCCTCCATCCCACTTAAAGTGCAGCAAAGATTATTAAGTGCCATAATGCTATAATAGGACCTTCAGGACCTGTACGCCTCCAGGACTTTAAGGCGTGCAAGAAAGATCGTGTCTGATCCTTCTCACCCTGGTCACAAACTTTTGGAAACCCTCCCCTCGGGCAGAAGGTTGAGAACCATCAGGACCAAAACCTCACGCCATAAAGACAGTTTTTATCCAGCAGAAACTAGTGACCCCCACCTATTCTTCTCTCACCCCCCTCTACCTCACTAATTTACCCAATACTACGTTCAACATTTTCTGGTTTGTCGTTTTATTTTATTATTTATTATTATTATTTATTTTATTTTATTCTATATTTTTATTTCTATATTGTATGTCGTTTCTTGTTTCTCATAGAAGTGTTGTGCACCAAATCAAATTCCTTGTAGGTGAAAAACCTACTTGGCAATAAACCTAATTCTGATTCTTATTCTGATTCTTTAAGAGGACGCGTCTGTTCTAGTTCTGGTCCCGTTTGTGAGTCTTTACCTGGAGAACTATGTCTGTGAAGTCCGGTAGATCCAGTGAGATCCTCCTGAGGTCCGTTCGACGAGCCAATAGCAGAACCTGTTCTGCCCCTGAAAAAACAAAGAGATTGATTATTGGGGTGGAGGACCCTGAGGTGGTAGTCAGATCTTCTCAGATCTTCTAAGATCTTCTTAGATCTTTTCAGATCCTCTAAGATCTTCTCAGATCTTCTCATATCTTCTAAGATCTTCTCAGATCTTTTCAGATCTTCTTAGATCTTCTTAGATCTTTTCATATCTTCTCATATCTTCTAAGATCTTCTCAGATCTTCTCAGATCTTCTCAGATCTTTTCAGATCTTCTTAGATCTTTTCATATCTTCTCATATCTTCTAAGATCTTCTCAGATCTTCTCAGATCTTCTCAGCATCCTGGATAACACTTCCAACCCCCCCTAGACTGAGAGCTCACCACAGAACGCCAAGACCGAGACTACTAAATCAGGTTTATATTTTGTGTTGTCTCTTTTCCCTCAGAATCTACTAAGTTTATTTTATCTTCTCTGATTTTAACTAATCTTTTCCAATTCTTAAAGCTCCTGTTCCCATAAAGCTCCCATTCATTTCCTGCTATGAGGTGCTTATGTCTTGTCCTAGTGTTAATAAAGTGGATACTATTATAGTCTATGAAGATTTTTTTGTGTTTTTTTTTAATCTTCGATCCTTACATCAAACAAGAAGTGTTGAAATGACTAGTTATGGAAGAATATGATAGATACAATAAGAAAGACCAAGGAAATAGTGCAAACCCTGTAATAATGCACGCCTTAAGGGTGGAGGAATGGACATAATTCCCTTCCGTCTTTTTACCATCTTGCTCATTCCTTCATTTGTGGCATTTCTTCTTCTACTTCTACTCGTTGAGGATCTGGATTCTTCTAGAAAGTCTTTTTGTTGTTGTTTTAGAAAGCTGACCCAGCCCCTTCCGCATGTTAGCATGTTAGCTTCTCAAAACAAAGGCAAGAAAGTTCCTCACACATGTAGTGAAGTGTACGATTCTTTTGTGTCATCCAACAGGTCCAATGCACAGTAGAAGGAAACTGGATTAAAGTCCAGTACTATGTATGTGTCACGTTAAAAATCTTAGGTCTTAGCCTGTCAACACTCTTCCTGTCTCCTCCTCCTCCGTAAACAAAAGGCCTGTGCTTTGCTTTCACTGTGTTTGCTTAATGGTCGATTTAGGAAGAGCTCCTTTTCTCAGGAGAGACAATTAAATGGGTTTTCTTTTTCTCTCCAGCTCTGACTCTGAAGGGCTCATGTCTGAAGCAGTTCATAGTGTTTTTCTCTCTATTCCCTCTCGACTCAGATCTTTGTTCTTTTTGTTGAACAGTTCAAATTCATTCGCTTAAATTTCCAGGTTTTATCCAGGTCTCAAACATCTACATTTACACAATTAGAAATAAAAAAACAGTAAAGGGTCGACAACAAATATATTTGGAAACTATCAAACTCAATAACCAGTGTCCTGATTGTAAAAGGGCTCAGGGATGATATTCGGTGATTCTGTGAGTTGTTAAAGCTGCATTTTAAAAACCAGTTCAAGTCTAGAGTCTCTCAGCTTTAGCTCGAATAAAACTGGACAAAGACCGGGCAGAGGCTGGTATATCAAAGACCAAATTGAATAGAGGGGGTTAAGCGCCTCTGATTTCACTGCTCTTCCCGCTTGACTTCATTTTGAGACATTTTAAGACCCCAAAAAACAGCCAAACACATACGTGCGCGCACACACAGCCACACACATCCGACTGGCCGCACAATAACAAACGCCTTCAATTTAACCAGCCAAGCAAAACAAATTAGAGGCGCGGACAAAAAGACACACACAACCCGGCAAACTGCAGCCGGACACAATGGAGCATTGTTGTTTTTATTGTCAGCAGTGGCCGTGCGATTGGCTGGCATGCTCCGTTCTCATTTAATATATTAACATAACACAACCTAATGGACGCACGCAAAACTTAACACTGTGCTGCGTTCCTGCAAAATAAGGCTCCTTTGTTTTGGCATCGTGGGAATCGTCATGGCGGCCGGTCGGTTAGAGTTAAACTGTGCTAACACAGATCAGTTACTTCTCTCCGGGCTGAGATATATAACACATATATGTGTGTGTATATATATATATATGTACACTACTAATATCCTGTGGTCATTAATCTGTACAAGCCTCCTTCAGAAAGTCAGACACCCCCCCTCTGTAAATTCTAACAAAATTATTGACATTATTACTATCACTTATTCATATATATCACCATACATATATGCATGTCTATACACACAAATACGATATGTCCATACATACATATACATATATATGTCTATACATACAAATATATATAAATATATATATAAGTAAATATACATAAATATACATAACTAAATTATTGACATTAGCACTATTACTTATTTTAGACCTATATATATATACATATATTTTCTTATGTATATATCTATTTATATACTGTGTGGAATTTTGTATATATATAGATATATATGATGTTGTTTTTTTTCTGGAGTTAATAACAAAAATAATTTCCCTCTGTATATATTTATTTATATTCTGTGTGGAATTTTGTATATATACTGTATATATATATATATACAGTGGGGGAAATAAGTATTCGACCCCTTGCTGATTTTTCAGGTTTGCCCACTTACAAAGAATGCTTATTTTTCCTCATCAGATGGTTATCAATTTTTATAAATTCATATGATGTGATTTTCTGGAATTTTCTTTGGGATTCTGTCTTCCACTGTTAGAAAGTACATATGATTAAAGTTATAGATCGTTGCATTCTTTGTTAGTGGGCAAACCTGCAAAATCAGCAAGGGGTCAAACACTTATTTCCCCCACTGTATATATATATACCTGTATATTAGTATAGACATGCATATATGTATATGATGTTGTTTTATTTCTGGAGTTAGTAACAAAAATAATTTCCCTCTGGGATAATTAAAGTATAGTAAAGTAAGACTCTCAACACCCAACGTCTCACACTTCAAAATACTACTTAGTTAAAACATAAGTCTCCAAAGGCATTATAGGACCCGGTGTGTTTGTGCGTATAAATGCAGACGGAGTGTGTTTGTGCGTATAAATGCAGACCCGGTGTGTTTGTGCGTATAAATGCAGACGGAGTGTGTTACTTAGTTAAAACATAAAAGTCTCCCAAAGGCATTATAAGACCCGGTGTGTTTGTGCGTATAAATGCAGACGGAGTGTGTTTGTGCGTATAAATGCAGGCGGAGTGTGTTTGTGCGTATAAATGTAGACGGAGTGGGTTTGCGCGTATAAATACAGACCCGGTGTGTTTGTGCGTATAAATGCAGACGGAGTGGGTTTGTGCGTATAGATGCAGATGGAGTGTGTTTGTGCGTATAAATGCAGACGGAGTGTGTTTGTGCGTATAAATGCAGACGGAGTGTTTGTGCGTATAAATGCAGACGGAGTGTGTTTGTGCGTATAGATGCAGACGGAGTGTGTTTGTGCGTATAAATGCAGACGGAGTGGGTTTGTGCGTATAAATGCAGACGGTGTGTTTGTGCGTATAAATGCAGACGGAGTGGGTTTGTGCGTATAAATGCAGACGGAGTGTGTTTGTGCGTATAAATGCAGACGTGTGTTTGTGCGTATAGATGCAGACGGAGTGGGTTTGTGCATATAAATGCAGACGGAGTGTTTGTGCGTATAAATGCAGACGGAGTGTTTGTGCGTATAAATGCAGACGGAGTGTGTTTGTGCGTATAAATGCAGACGGTGTGTTTGTGCGTATAGATGCAGACGGTGTGTGTTTGTGCGTATAGATGCGTACCTGGTTTGCAGGTCTTCCCGCCGTTCCACAGCTGCGCCTGTCCCACCGGAGTA